TACCTCGTCGTAGGTGTCGCACCGGGTTCCCTCCTACCACGGCCACCAAAGGCGTGCTTAGGTGGTTTGCCGGTCCGACACGAACGTCGAGGTGGAGAGTGGAGGGGATTATTTAAAATTAATTTAAAATAAATTAATTATAATTAAGTTTAATCATAATTAATCATAACTATTATTATTTAATTATTATTAAAATATATTTAATATATAATTAATCTGATTTATATTTAATTATAAATAATTATTAATTAATTAATAAAATAAAGTAATCATTCATAATTAAATTAATTATAAATGATATAATTATTTCTTAATTAATTATAATTAAAGTAATTAAATATAAGTAATTAATTATATTTAAATATAATTAATAATAATTAATTAACATTAGGATAATTAATTATAATTAAATTAAATTAATTATAATTAATATCATTTTTAATTAACTAAAAAAATAATTTAATAATAATAATACTAATAAAAGAAAATCCCTCCTCCCCTCATTCTCTGCATTACGGGATCAAGCCGAAGAGGCGCTCATGGGAGAGAGTTACCTACACAGTGAGCTCCTGTCGCTACTTCTGATCGGACAAGAAGGAAGGTCGCCGAAGTAGCGAAGCCAAATAGCGAGGATGAAAGAGGGGTCTCGGCAAGGTAGGGCTTCGGATAGAGGAGTTCGGCCAGAGAAGCAGAGGTCGGCTTTGATGCTGTCGGGTTGCTCAGGTGAGGAGAATGATCTCTCTCTCTCTCTCTCTGTGGCTTGCGATTAGGGTGAGAACAGGAGGAGTCGGTCGGGATGGGTGCGAGATGTGGAGCTCGGGATTGGGAGTTTGATCGGAGCAGAGGTTTCGGGACAGAGCAGCGAATGGAAGAAGCAGCCGGAGGAGTAGAGGGTTCGGCTTCGTTTTATAGCCGCGAATGGGAGGCGATCGAAGCTGTCTACTGGCTTTACGGAGGATTTTGCGGAGAAGCGATTGTTCCGGCGCCGAACTCAGCAGGATTCACAGCAGGTTTTCAGCAGATTTTGTGGATCCGTCGGGTAAGAGGTTTGTACACTGGCTCTCTTCCCTCTTGCCTTTTTCGCTCTTTGGATAACACATTGAGGTCAACAAATGTCACCTTAATTTCTATATATTATATTAAAAAATTATTATGTCGTGTCCACGCCGCACCCGTGTCCGATATTTTTAAAAAATGTCGTGTCCCGTGTACGTGTCGTGTCCGTGTCCGTGTCGACGTGTCCGTGTCGGTGCATCATAGTTGGTGAGTTTTACAACCTAATCCCATATAAGAGACAATCCAAATCTAAAATATTCATTTATAAAGGACTTGAAGGCCTTATAGAAATGAAAAGCCAAATATCTTGTGGATTCTCATGTCATATAATTCCAAAGCATGTTGTATGGGTTGGCGTGTCACACTTAACCACACGGGGCCTTCAATATTTCCCATGGAGGTCGAGCTTGTGCTTCCAATTATTATGTTGAAAAACTATTCTATATATGCATGTGTTTGAAAATTAACGAGTAGACAAAATGATTTTAAAAGTTCATCATATAATCTTGATTATGCCCCTCCTAACGTGTTTTTGGGACACAAGGAACATATCACATACATACGATATAATGCAAAAATATATATATTATGTTTGATGACCTTGAGATGATTCAACACGAGCTAAAGGTCCATCAAGGTGGGGCAAAGGTTACATACCTTTCCTCGACCCATGATGGACTTGCTCTAGCCTAATAATTGTAACTTTTGTTGAAAGTTCCATGAATATGTTATGATTAAATACTTTGGTATTTTAATCTGATAAGAGGATGGGAGAGCTCTCCCTCATCTATGCCTTGATCGATCCACAGCTTGTTCCCTGGTAATGAGAAGTAATTTATTAAAATTGGTGTAGCTGATTTTTTGGCTTTTTTCTTGTCATATTTATGTCATTGAGCATTCTTTGAACGTATCTGATAATGATTTTACATTTATTTGCTAATTGTCACAAATTTAACATAAAAAATTTGCTAGAAATTTTAATAATACTTCCATATGACCCTTGTGAGGGGGTAACGAAAGTAGGTCATCCCATTGTGTTAATAAAGGCTCATTTAGTGTGATGCGAGAGGCACTATAGCCTAAGAAAGTCATCCCATCATACAAAAAAGGAGGTTAGGGGTTATAAAGTAATAAAATATTACCCAACCACACCAAAGATGCTTACTCATTTGGGTACTTACAGATGAAAACACAATTTATATAAAAATTGTGCGCTAGTTAGTGCCCTCATGAAGCAAAAAAATATGGTGGATTTATATTACACTACAGAGTATTTAATGAAGTGTGTACCCACAAATATACAAATTAGATTATAAAAAAAACTCATTTTTTGTGTTTCATCATGTTTCACTCAATAATTAGCTCGAATTTGGTCTATTTATTAAATTGATTTATCTAACAAGCAAAGCACAAGCATTACCTTGTTCGATTGGGTTTGACTCACAATCAGTTCAATAATATGTATACATATACATAATACTACAAATATGTGTATATTATTATATATGTTTATATTTGTATGTATGCAAAGATACATATATTGTGAATACCCATATTCATTCATATATTGTGAATATGGGTATTCATACTTTTCTATATATAGATAGATGAAACTTCATATTGTATAATTTTTATAGAATTTAAAATAGGACTCATATTCGGATGTAACTAGTGTTCATCATGAATTCATGATAAGTAAACAAAGCCAAGCACAAACAAACAAACATTAGATCATTTACTTAACTAGCTGAGCTGAAAAATAGTTGAGCTCACTCGAGCTCAATTACACTCATATATACAAGTGGTTTATAAAAAAAAAAATGCATGCAAGCCCAAGCAATGTTAAAATAGGTTGCTACACACGAATGCACAGTATCGTTGAAGACTTTGCATGTGTTGATGGTGCCAACAAACACACAGACTATTACATGGAGCAAAGTATAGTTGAAGACCTTGCATAAGAATAGATGGTGGCAACAAGGTCATAACATAGGCTATTACATGATGACGTACAAATTTGGTAGCCTCGCATGTGTGATGGCTCATAGAGTCGATGAAATCATCATATGTGGGGAGGTGTGATGACGGCGATAGTATCACAATGTTGATGCATGTAGCATCAACAATGTAGCCTGTAAAATGTCAATGATATGGATGTGAGTTTGCCGATGACAAAGATTGTGACTTTGAGGTGATGCAGGTGTGACACTTGCAATAAGATAGTGATAGGGATTGTCGCCACCAGCAACAATCACATCATCGTACTTAATGATTTATTTACTGGATTAATTTCCTCCCAATTATCACTAAAATTTCCCTAAATAATCCCCCTTAATTCCTCCTCTTCCCTAAATAATTCCCTCTTAGATTTTGAATTCAAATTAAATATCTTGCCCTATATAATTCCTTCCCAATTGTAATTAAAACATTCTTAAACAATTCCCCTTTGATTAAGAACATTCCTAAATAGTTCTCTCTTAATTTGGAAACTTCCTAATTACCTCCCAATCAAATCGGTTGGTCTATCATAATTCTTCAAAACGAAACTGAATTATTTTCTAGTCAACTATATTTTCGAAAGCTAATTACATAATCGATAATTCTAGTAAGTAATAATTGTGAATAGAGGACAGCAAAAATTATAACAATCACAAATTATTTTGTAGTATAATCAAAGAAACTAAGGTTAAGCTTAATGTATGTAGCGTACTTACAGAAAATCGAGGTTGAGGCTTTGTCTTATTAGCTTGCTGATATTTTAGAATTGTCCAGTCAAATATATAGTCAAACTCATATCCTGTCATGAACAGAAAGAAGAACTTTGAAGCAATGCTTTGGGTAAAGTTAGTAACATCCTACACATGGAATGGTATATTTAGCAAGAAATGCATGCAGCACAATAAAGAAATTATAAGGTGAAAGGAATTTTTTTTTTTAAAGGAGTATATAAATTATGCAACATATTTATTATATAAAAAAAATTAAAAGCAAGTAGGTATAAATAAAACACGAGAAAATGAATGTCAAATAATCACAAGCCAACCTTCCCTGCATCCGGTTCCACCCCAATTATCATATGTAATTACAAGCTTCAAATACTATCATCTACGCCAAGCACCTCACTCCAAATATATAGGGATAAAACCCACTCTTTTTCAACAAAACCAGAGTGGCTTAGTAAACTTCATCCCAGCCATTCTAAGAGGATTGCACAGATGGGATTATGATAATTTCACCATGTATTGCAATTATAATTGGAGAGGATCCCAATCCCTCTCTAGTTTGGTTCGTGTTTCAAGTACTCTCCAATAAAACAATTTCTTGACTTTATTTGTATATGCTCTTACTAGTCCATGACATCAGAAGAATCCTAAATTTCAGTACTTGGCCTTAAATTGCATTGATGGTGCATACAGTAATTAGTGGCATTTAAATTTGCTCATCAGAACATGGAGACGTTATCATGTGACTTTGTCAAAGTTCTTAAGAGTTTCTCAACCTTGCATCTCTCTCATTCACACACCTCCTATCCCTATTGTGCTTGAAAGTTGAAAGTGTGTTAGTGTGATATGCTCCGAAGTTTAAGCCAAAGAGAATAACTCAAGATGACATTTAATAGAAAAGGCAATTTTTAAAAATTCAGAAAGTGTAGTTAACAAAGAATACCATCTCGGCTAAACAAATCCCGAAAAAGGCGCTTCAAAAATCCATAATCCGGCCGTTGATCAAATGTCAAAGAGTGACAATAGTGGAAGTAAGATGCAAATTCCACGGGATGTGATTTGCACAAAACCTGCCAATTGACAGTCGGTTAAAATTTTCACAACATAATCGTAGTTTAAGTTGCAAATAGCGCTGGATACATACTTCAATAGGAGTTGAAAGCTTCTTCTCACATATCTTATCGTATTTCTGCTTCTTTGTTGCAGCTTTTAGGCCCTGCCATGGAAGGCTTCATGCAATTTTGGTAAAATCAGTCAAATAGGCTACTAAGATAAGCATTCAACCCAAGAATATGATAGCATGCATCATTCAGTTCATGAAAATTAAAGCATAAAAAACAGACAAGAAGCATGGCAAACATTTTAACTAAATTTAGAGTTCAAATTTCATATTGACATAAGCAACAAATAAATGTGAAAGTTTTTCATCAAAAGTCAGAACTTATATCTTAATAGCGTGTTAACTTTCCTTGATCCTACACATTAAAATACTATTGCATATTAGTTGAAACAAATATGGATTTCTAGTCATTCATTCGACTCCAACACCAAAGTCTGGTCATCAGTAAGAGCTTTATGTTCAAATTCGATTGTGTTATGTTCCAGAAGCACTCAACAAATTTTCAAGAACCCCCTCAATCATATCATAATGCAAAACAACGTACACCACCAACAATATTGAGGACAGTACTTGAATTAAAACAGAACAAATGAATAAACTAACACGATACTTGTTTCTTCATATCAAACAACACAATTTATTTACCATCCCAAAAAATCTTAGATTATGCAATTGTAAAATCATGTACCTTCCCCGTAGGAAATATAGAAGAACATAGCCCAGTGATTCCAAATCATCCCTACGGCTTTGTTCTGCAAGGATAGCAAGGAAATGCCTGATTAAACTCTATTTTCAGCAGAACCACATTATTACATGTAATGGCACTTACCAATGCCCCAATGGGTGTTGCAACTTGCATATCGAGCAGTCCCAGTTAAATTTTTATTTTCTCTGTATTAAAAGTTGAAAAGTTGAGAAACACTTTAGTCGGAAAATTTTGAAAAAACAAATACAAAACTTAAGAATTCAAACAAATACAAAACTAAAGAATTTAACAATTTCACCCATCAAATGCCAATTTAGCAATATATCATGCAAGAACAATGTCAGATCACCAGAAAAGCATTAAAAGAAAGAAAAATGGAAAATAGTTTACTGGTTGAAAAAGATAACAAAGTAAACGGCGTCATGTAGCAGCAAAGAAGGCAAGCTTAACATGCAACTGCAAGGGCCATCTTCAGGATGGGAAAAAGAAACTTCAACAGCTTAGGCTTATAAAAATTACAGTAACAGGAAAATCAACTTATGGGCATGAATCAAGAACATCAAGACAAAAGAACCGCCAAAATGCATAAACTAGGTTAACGTGCACAAATATTTGACAGCATTTGAGATAGGAAAGTATAATGTGAGATAATCTCATATTACCAATAACTCAAGCACGTAGAACAAAGAAAACAAATATTTTTCTTTCTTTTTTTACCAGAAGAAAAACAAATCTAACATGTGAGCCACTGGGAAGAGACATTATCTGTACATGTGAAAGAAATGATAAGCATTATAGTTCATCCAAAGAAATAATTCAATCTGTATCTTTGACGTTTTTCATTCTAAAGATGAAAAATGGGCATGCTACGTATATAACAACAAACCCAATTATCATGCTCATTCAACACACAACCATGACATCTAGTAATGCTCTATACATGCTGCAATAGTAAATCACAGTACAGATCCTCGAGTAACTGGCTGTAACTTTAGAACTGCACAGTCAAAAGTGGAAAGAAATAGAACTAGATAATAGATTAATTGTGGTGCAAAATTATATGGGACAATATGTGATATGATGCTAGCATAAAATAACCAAACCATTCAAAAACACAATCAAACCTGTATGGTATATGGCGGTTAGTAGTAGCATCTCTATATCTTTTTGCAAGCCCAAAATCAATTATATACACCTGCAACATAAGGCCAGCAGATTACATAATTATCAAGAATCCACATTGGTGACTGAGACTAAATGACAGCAGCTACCTGGTTTGCTTTCCGACCAAGCCCCATAAGAAAGTTATCAGGCTTGATGTCCCTATGTAAAAAGCCTTTTGAGTGCACATACTCTATTCTAGTAATCTGAATCACAAACAAAAAAGCAGGGTGTTATTACTAGGTAAAATTGATCATAGAATCACTAGTAAAAAAACTAATTAAAAATATGAATACAGTTAATCAATGAAAATAAACTAAGTTTAGTTTGTCTTTTATTGAAAACCACATTTCTCAATAGAACAGCTACAGAAATGCATATTATGGATTGTTTTGTGATAGGAAATACTTGAAATCAAGTAATTCCTAGCCAAAACTGAAGCGGAATCAGGGAAAAACTGCTGTCTCCAGCAGTGGACAGCAGTTTTACACAGGAAAACAGTGAGGAAACGCGAGAAAACTGAGATCCAATGCAAGCAAAGGCTAGTATTTTATTAGTAGACGAATAAAATTGCAAAGATACAATTTGTTCTTCAATTCGAGAGGAAGAACGTACTCTCCAAAGTCTCCAGCGAAACCAAGAGCCCAAACCAAAACCTAGATCTCAAAGAGAAAACTCAAATTCAAGATGCCAAACTAATTCCCCCCAAACTCCTAATTATACAAAATTAATCATAAAGGGCAATCATAAACTTCCTAAAACAGCCTTTCACGTTCAAAATTTCCCTCCTAAACTCCCCCTCTTAAGCCTACGTGGATTCACGGCTCACGGCAGAGCCGTTTCCGCCCAGACGGGCTCCGTCTCGCGTCCGTCTCGCGTAGACGCGGACCGGTCCAACCGGCCCATCCTGGGCCGGTCTAACATTTTGTTGGATACATACAGATCTCAATATGAAGTAAACCCCTACGAATAAAATGCCAGTAAAGATTTACAAAAAGAATGAGCCACAAAGTACTGTCAGCAAACCAAACTGCCTCTTATTCCCTCAAAAAACAAAATCAACACGGTCGAAGAAACAAGGTACAACCTAAATTTTAAACAACTTAGTTTGTAAAGCTTGTGTTGCATAGCATTCCATACAAAAATGCACATTATTGATTGAATGTGATGCATTTCTAATCTCTGTATCTACCAAATAACAAGCAACTCATTAAGGCTATGTTAGTTGTAGGGAAAAAAGAAGAAGATTATTTTAATAGCCATGTGCCAGTTGTGATGAAATATACCAGTTAATTGCAAGTTGCAACTAATCTATTGAACCTGCTTGACCTAGAAGGAAAAAAAAACTAATGCAAATATGCATTTAGCAATCCTAGAAGCATAGGAACATTAGCAATACCATGGAGAACCCACAATATCTGGCTCTCCAAGCTGCAATGAACCAAATTGCTTAGCCCTATGCTGGAAAATTAGTCTTACAAAAGTAAAAGTCAAACAAATCAGCTGAGTTGAAGCACCAAAAAGTTCCATAATAAAAACTGTTATACTACACATATCAATTTCATTACCATCTGATCGGCCAACATTAAAACTGTTTTCAAAGAAAATTTCCTTCCACAATAGACAAACAAATCCTCAAGACTGGGACCAAGCAGGTCAAGAACAAGTGCATTGTCTTCCCCATCCAAACCACACCATTTTGTGTTTGGAATACCACCTGCATATATGAAATTAGAAGTGCTTCAAATTATAGCCATCTAGTACAAGACATCTTCAAGAAAATGCAATTCAGAATAATAACACATACTTCCTCCCTGCAGAATGTTGTAGAGTTTGGCCTCATAAAGCAGCTGTGGGTGCTTCGTCTTGCTATTCTCCTGATCACACAAAAAAAAGCTTCTCTTAATCATCAACGAACTACTGGATAATAGTACAAAAAAATTTTGATAAATCTGAACTCTCATGAGAGTATATATATATATGAAGATTTCATAGCAAAACATGTAACAGAAAATGAAGATTTCATTTTCAATCATTGTGTGAGTGTAAATGAAATCATTACATTTAAGGCAGCTCAAAGAAGCCACACAGACTATGAAATAAATGTTAGTTTCCAAATCATCCAATCAAATGATGGATTTAACAAATTTCATCATTTTTCCTAACTTCAGGCAACCACGCAGCTCACCTTAGTTTGTTGGTTGGGAGCTTTGGCTACCAATTAAGAAGTTTTGATTCGAGTCTTGAATGTGTGATTATGTGTGTGAGTTTGACATAATTGGCCTAAATGTCCCCAAAAAAAAAACGTCAGGCAACCAAAGGAGCCCTAGACAAGCAGTGGGATCCACGAATTACATGAACAACAAACCAAAGACTTGAAAAAAAAAACCCTCCGAAATCAGAATAAAAAGAAACCAGCTTTCCTAGACAAACAAACACAGAGATATTCCCTAAAATAAATTACCACAACACCAGTTCTAGAAGGACACAACAAGATAAAAAGAAAACCAACACGAGCAGAACAAGCTAATTTATACAGTTAAATCAGATCAGAACTATAAAACAAAAAATAAAATAACGCAGAGGAAAAAAAGCAACGGATGTATACTCACGATCTTGACGGCGACGATCTCGAAAGAGTCAACATGCGTAGCTGCCAAACATGACCCAAATAAATTTAAAAAAAAAATCAACAACAACGATCGGCCCGAAAATGCAAAGAACAAAAGGTCGAATATGATTTCACCTAGGTAGATCTCCCCGAAAGATCCGCTCCCAATCTTCCGACCTAGCTTGTACTTCCCACCGATGATCCGATCCATGCCTCAGATGAGCATCAAGTGATCGAAGGACAAAGAGATGTGGCTGGTCTGTCTTTGAAGGGATTGAGGCGATGGTCGAGATGTAATAGATGGGATAGCTCACAAGGAAGACGAGGACGGGGAGGAGGAGGAGGAGGAGGAGGACGACGACGACCTGTGGGGCGTTTGGGGACACTGGGACTACGGGGAGGCGGTGCACAAGGAGCAGCCTTATCTGATTATGCGATTTATTTCGTCCTCGTATGGATCGGATCGGACCGGACCTCGTGTCTGTTTCAAGTTTTCAATTTTAGACTTTTGGTTAGGTAAGTATAGTTTCAATTTGGTAGATTTTGATAGTTTTGATTGTTTCTGTATCTAATTTCGTTCAAAATTATAAAATAAAGTAATAAACTATATATATTTTTAATTATTGTTGCGTCCTCAAATATTCACGATGATAGAGAAATATAAATTTTAACGTCTTAGTTTTATATGAAGATCAAGCATGCATACAAATAAAAAAGTAAATATATAACTTTCATAAGAGACACCAGAGTTTTTACGTGAAAACTCATAAAAAGGGAGAAAAACCATTGGGCTTCGCCTAATTTGAATAAATTCACTAGTATTTGTAGTCGATTACAAATGATGTCATTACTTGGGGAGGAAGGCCTTTGGTTTTATGTAGTAAACATACAGCATATAGAGTGTATTACATCATGATAATTGAAAGAATCAATATTGACATTTGGTTCAGCAGGATCATAGTCGACTGGCATCAAAGGTCGGAAAAGACCATAGTCAGGTGACGGTGGTTGGAAGGACCGTAGTCGGCGGGCAACGGAGGTCCGAAAGACCGTTGTCAAGCAACGAAGGTCGAAATGACCATAACCGGTGGGCGATAGAAGTAGGAAAGACAGTAATCTTGTGACGAAGGTCGGAATGATCATAATCGGCTGGTGACATAGGTTAGAAATACTATGACACTTTTATAACAACTGAGGTTGGAATGACAGTAGTCAGCGAGCGATAGAGATCGAAAAGACCATAGTTTGGTGATGGGAGGTTGTTGGAATGACCATAGTCGGGGGGAGGGGGGGATCCGACTTCGTCCGGACGAACCTGGAGCAAAAACTGATATTACATATATTCTCAAAAAATTATCTTGATCGGGCACGAATCTCGAGGCAAAACCCAATCCGGAAACTTCAAAATTAAATACGGGAGCACCCGAACTCCAATTTCAGCAAACTTATAGTCAAACTGAGCGTCTCGGAAATACAAACCCAACAACACCAAATTCAACTCAATCCGAGTTGAAATGAGCCCAAATCAAGCGCCCGAAAGACCGTAGTCATGCGACATTTGTCAGAAGGAATTATGATGATAATCGGTGGTCGGACGTAAGTCCCACAATAATTTGTGGTCGCGCGTAAATTCGACGATAGTCTGTGGCCGGGCGGAAGTCTGGTGACAATCGGTAGCCGGACGGTAATCGAGAAGGAGCTTCTTGGCAAGATAGATCTCATATTTCTCTTACCCTATTCTCTTCTTTCTCTTCCTTGCTTCCCTCCTTTCCCCTTTGCCCTTCCTCCCCTCAATGAAGAATGTGTGTTTATTTATAATTTTTTGGGAGTGGCATGACCAGTAAATAGAAAAGAGATCAAGGGCATGATGGGAATGTTTTGAATGGATGATCGATATCGACACCCTTAGATTATAGATTGTTTATCGAATATTTGAGTATTTTAGTTATATCAGAATTTGGCGATCTTTGGGCTCATTGGATTCTTCTCATCGACCCGCTTGATTTGACTATAAGCATGTCATATTTGGGAATCATTTGGTCATTCAATTTAGGGTTTTAACCTTCCAAATGTGTTTCGGGTCTTTGATTTGGACCTATTCGAGCTTGGATTGGGTCGAATTCGGTGTCGTTGGGTTTGTCTTTTTGAGACGTTCAGTTTGACTATAAGTTTACTAAAATAAAGGTTCATATGCTCATGAATCTAATTTATGAAGTTTTATACATAAATTTTCATCAAGATTCGTGCATGATCTAAATAA